ATTTTTTTAAAGAAAATTCCATTAATTTAAGGTATGTAATTAGTAATAATTGATATTTCGTAAACTAAATAACTTATTTTTATTGTTTTTTAAAAAATGTTTGTTAAAACTTGTAAATAACACCATAAAATCGTAAAGAAAAATCCAATATGGAGGCTAAAATTTAAGTGATTTAATCGCTTATTTAAACGAAATTTATTCGAAAATTCAAAGCTTTTGATTGGTTCATATTATAATGAGGGAAATAATCGTAAGTAATATCATAAGGGCATTTAATTTTTCCGAAAAGAATCGAAAAAACACGTTGCTAAGTAATATTTTAACAAAAAGCATGAGTGCTGGTGGCAACAAAAATCCGAGTCGAAGAGGAGGATTTTTGCACCTGCACGAATGCATTTTGTTAAAAAATATTACTTAGCATTGTGTTTTTTCGATTTTTTTCACAGGAAAAATTAGATGCCCGAATGGTATTTGACAAGACTATTTCATGAGTAACAGTTAACAATTAAAATATAAATTGTAATTTTTGTTGACAACAGCTGTCAAGTTTTGCCGCGGGTAAACTCGAATAAACTGCTGACAGGTGCTGTCATACAGTTTTTCCACCTAGAAACCATTTGTAATTCAAAATTGCGCGTTTGTGATTGGTCGAAATTAGGACGAGGGAAATAGTCAATACAAAATTTCCAGATTTGTGTCTGCAAATTATTATTATACAGGGTTTACAAAAAATATAACAGTTTTAGCAAATAACCGTACATGCATACTAGCTAGGACACAGTCAAAAATAATTTTTTTTTACAGGTTATTCCGTGGTACAAATATTTTGTACGGGTTTGTATTGTATCAAAGAAAATGTAAGTAGTGTAGTATATTAGGCTGATTCAAAAATAGTTTTTTTGTTTATTTTTCTTCGAACCTCGCTTAAAAGTTTCGTATAGATATATACAGCCCGTTCAGAGTAAAACCGAATATAGGGAAACGTAAAGGGCGTGGCCTCGCCTCCCTCCAACGCGCGACACAGTAGCTAAGCAAATAGCCTGCATCGCTAATGAGATTTTTTGCATTATCATTTAATTTTTAAGGTCGTCTTACCTGCTCGACCTTTCGTCATGTCGTTTATAACACAAGCTACTGTGACGCGCGTTGGAGGGAGGCGAGGCCACGCCCATAACGTTTCCCTATATTCGGTTTTACTCTGAACGGGCTGTATTATATATAAAAATCAACTTGTGAAGAGATTTTAAGAGAATTTAAGGTCAAAGTTCAAATTGTACGAAATTTTTCGGTAAGTTAACTTGGTTAAAAGTTATTCAAGGTTATAGTAAAATTAACCGTCAATTTAGCCGTTTTCTCGAAAAAAATCCTAGATTTTTTAGTTTAAAGGGCTAAAAACGAATCGAAATATTGTTTTTGAGCTCTGGAAATTCGAAAAAACATAACTATCTATATTTCGACATCGAAAAGATCCACAATTTTATGGTAGAAATATTTTTAAACCATTTCAGCCAAAAGATTTTTGGAAAATCTTCTGTTACAATTTGAAAAGCTCCAAAATTTTATGGTAAACATTAGGGTGTCCCAAAAAAAAAGAATATATTTTTTTTTCTTGTCTCTTGTAAAAATATGTTAGTTTATCATGCTGTAAGAGCCCTTTTAAAATATCAGCTCGATTAAAAATTTTGTAGGGGTCGCTCAAGATTTTTAAAAATTTTCAAAATCGTCAAAAATTGAATTTTTGTTTTATTTTAATTATTTTTCTCGTCTCGATATTATTTTTTAGGTTGAAAATAATAAAAATTCTGTAAATTTCAAATCAATATTTTGATTTCTAAAGGTCGCTAAAAGTTCGTTAATATTTATATTCAGAGGTAGCTCGAAAACATTCAAAATACTCTACTTTGAAAGTTAAAAAAATCTTGAGCGACCTTTAGAAATTAAAATATCGATTTGAAATTTTCAGAATCATTATTATTTTTAAATTAAAAAATAATATCGGAACGAGAAAAAAAATTAAAATTAAAAAAAATCCAATTTTTGACGATTTTGGTAATTTTTAAAAATCTTGAGCGACCCCTAAAAATTTTTTAATGGTGCTGATCTTTTGACAGGGCTCTTAAAACATGACAAACCAACATATTTTCACAAGAGACGAGAAGAAAAAAAATATTCTTTTTTTTTTGGGACACCCTAGTAAACATATTTTTAAACGATTTCAGCCAAAAGTTTTTTGGAAAAACTTTTGTTACAATTTGACAATTTGATAACCTTAGAATTCCAGAAAATTTAAAAAAATGTTATTATAATAACATTTTTTTAAATTTCCTATAGGAGCCATATTTTTGCATGAGTCATGTAGATTTGATTTAAAAATTAGAAAAAAGAATAACCCTGAAAGCTATTTGTGAAACTTCCTGCTACTTTTGGCTCAAATCGCTCAAAAATATTTCTACCATAAAAGAGCGTTTCAAGATCGTAATATTAGCTATTTTCGCGGAGCTAATCCCGAACTAATTCCGGACATCCTAGTGCGCATGACAAATATTAAAATGCGCATGCCTAGGATGTCCGAACTAGTTCGGGATTAGCACCGCGAAAACACCTATTGATAGTTAGGTTTTTTTGAATTTCCAGAGCTCAAAAACAATATTTCGATTCGTTTTTAGCCCTTTGAACGGCTAAATTGACGGATAATTTCACTTTAACCTTGAATAACTTTTAAAAATTACCAAAAATGACTTTAGACCTTTTTTGTAGAGCGGTAGACTCGCCAAAAATTTGAACTTTGACCTTAAATTACTTTAGAAGGATCAAATTTATCAAAAAATCATAAGAACCTTTTTTATAGAGCGTTCATTTCTCTACAATAATATGTCAAGAACTTTACAGTTATATAAAATACAGTTATATAAAAAATAAATATTTTAAGTAACTTTTTTATCAAAACTCAAAAATAAGAAAGTTATAGGCCTTCCCAGTTTAATTAAATTTTGAGCCGGTCCTGGCTATTGTTAATAAAAAACATAACCATAAAAATAAAAATAACAAAATAAACAATGCAAAATGTCATATATGACAACAAACATAACCATTTAAATCAAAATGACATTTAGCAATGAAAAATGTCAGTTATTTTGTGCCTCAATTATTGTTAAAAATGGTTCATAATTATAGCAATAATGAATTAGTGGAAATGTTACTAATTTATGGAGAGTGTCGTCAAAATGCAAATGCTGCAACTTAAGTAAAGTAAATAATGACATTTTTTATTGCAAAATGTCATTTTGATTTAAATGGTTATGTTTGTTGTCAAATATGACATTTTGCATTGTTTATTTTGATATTTTTATGGTTATGTTTTTCGTTATCAATAGCCAGGACCGGCTTAAAATTTAATTAAACTTTGATGGGCTATAACTTTTTTATTTTTGAGTTTTGATAAAAAAGTTACTTAAAATATTTATTTGTCTAGCTGATTTCTACACACTGTTAAAAGAAACGCGTCAACTTAAAACTCACCCTGTATATACAGGGTGTCCGGGAAAAGGAAGTCAATCCGTTAACCATATATTCTTTGAGTTAAAACAATAAGACTTTCATAATACCATTTTTCAATTTAGAGCTTCATGTTCGATATACAGGGCGACAAAGTTTAAAATTTAAAACTGATTTTTTTAATAATTCGAGTAATTGATAAGATATTAAGTTCAAATTTGGTACACTACTTCAACATAAATAGTTACATTTTTTGAGACCAACAAAACAAAAAACAATTGTCAAATAATCAAAATAGGGGGGTCCAGTACTCACTGAATCCCCCTATTTTTTAGTACGTGCGCCAATGACTTCCAAACGGTATTTTTTCAGGTAATCATTTATTGTTAAAAAAAAGTATGGGTCAGTCCATATCAAATCAACCAAAGGTTCTTCCCCCACCATCTCCGATTTTGATAATTTTTGGTAAATTTGTTTACCTCACTAAAAAACTCAAGAATCACATATATGAATTTTTTTCGACGGGTGGTTTTTGTTTTATTGATTTTTGAAAATCAAAAAATTCCGATAAATTTTGGTTTTGCAAGTACAAAAATAGCGATATCTCGTAAACTATTAAAAGTAGAAAGGTGGTGGTGATGGCTTATTTTAAAGGCCTATTAGTGACCTTTTTTATGATACATCACATGACCTAAATTTTTTCAAAAAAAAATTAAATTTCAAAAATTTGATATGGATTGACCCATACTTTACAAATTATCTCTAAAACAAATCATTTTATCAAAATTTTATAAGAGACAAAAAATTTTCAACAATAAATGATTACCTGAAAAAATACCGTTTGGAAGTCATTGGCGCACGTACTAAAAAATAGGGGGAGTCAGTGAGTACTGGACCCCCCTATTTTGATTATTTGACAATTGTTGTTGTTTTGTTGGTCTCAAAAAATTTAACTATTTATGTTGAAGTAGTGTACCGAATTAAAACTTAATATCTTATCAATTACTTGAATTATTAAAAAAAATCAGTTTTAAATTTCAAACTTTGGCGCCCTGTATATCGAACATGAAGCTCTAAATTAAAAAATGGTATTATGAAGAAGTTTTAACTCAAAGAATATATGGTTAACGGATTGACCTCCTTTTCCCGGACACCCGGTATATATATCATCAAGCAATTCTCGCTAGACTATCCATGGGCAATAACTAACTGTAGGAGTTATTAGTCATGACTTCAGCCCCAATATAAAACATAACTTTATTATTGCGCATGAGAAATGCTTAATGTAACAAACCTACTCTATAATTATTATTTTAGGGGGATCCTTTAAAATGTGTTTCATCCCTTGTAAACTTTATTGGTATACTTGGTATGATTATTTTATGGTACTATTCAATTGAGTATATTGAATTTATCCCACTATTTAAGGAAATGACATTGGCTATAATGAGTAATCATATAAATGTAACAAAAGGTAAATTAATAAATATTACTTGTTCTGTTATAAAACATTTATTTTTAGTTATTTTTACAATAACATCTATAATTTTACATTACCATGCCTAATTAGAATATTTTAGTATATGATTGTATTTTGTAATTAATAAAATTTATTCCATTAAAACCTGTGATGGTGAAGGCTCTAAAATTAAATAAAAAAAATAAAAACAAAATTTTTTTATTATTTTTTATTTGGACTTGGTTGGAATTTGTGGGAAAATATTACACAGGCCTACAACCATTTTGAGAGTGTCTAATACAAAATGAATATGGGGAATGAGAGCACCCATTTAGCGCAAAACAAAAATTAGGTATTTCTTACCTACTTGGACTGTAAGTAATAAACTTACCAAACTGCCTATAGTCTTGACTGTCCTGTCTTCGAATTGAATATCTAGGCATCATGTTAATTGGGTCATGCTCCCTACTATCTTGCAAATTCCAATGCCAATCTTAAAAAAACCTAATAGTTATATAGGTGATTTAAAAAAAGTAGACTAAGGGCCGTATGCAGAAAAGTTGATTTATTTATATCAACTGATTTACGCATATCAGTGGATATAGGTTTTTGCACGACATGGCATAGTAATTTTTTTTTAAAACTGTTGTTTCATAAAATAAATTGGGTAATTATCTTTCAACGTTTATATTTTCCCTAAAAAAGTCGATTTCTATACATTGACATTGACATTAGACACAGTGGCGGCTCGTGGGTGTACAGGAGGGTGAGGCTACATAAGGTTAATTTTGTCTAAATACGAATAATTTTCCACGTCACCCGGGAGGTATTATTCTCCGACGCGTTGACCTTTTTTAAAATGAAGCCGATAGCACTACTAAACCAAAAAATAAACTCTAAAAAACAAAACAAACAAAATATCACATCAAAGACTAGTTTTAATCTTAAACTTAAAAAATAGTCTTAAAAAAGTTAAAAATAAATAAATTAATCAAAAAATAAAACTAAAACTAAAAAGTCGACCCCTACTTAAGTATTAAAAAATATAAAATACCTACTATACGTCTATCTTTTAAGATTGAAAATTTATCTATTATTTGGTCGTAAAATTGTTGGTCTGCAGTGAGATTTAAAAGTAATTCTAAATTTTCAAACCGCGTCTCTAATTGAAGAATTATGCAATCTATTATTTCAAAATATAAAATTTGCTTAATAAAAACTGCTAAATCTACCTTAGTGTGTTCCCTACAATAATTAAATAAGAAATTTTACTAATCGAGACAAAAACTATAAAAGATCAGCCAAAAGTTTTAAATAATTTAATCTGAATCAAAACAATAACGTGCTCTACAAACGCTAAGAGAAGACTGGCAACCTTCTTTGTCTCCGCTGGCATCCCACCATAAACGGACTACCAATCAGAACAAACCAAGCTAACTTAATTACGCCTCATCTACGGTGTTTATTCGCGAACTTACGGCGATATTTTTGTTGGTGAGTCATTTTCGCTTTCAAGACGTAAATGGGAGCTTCCGAGGCTGTGAAAATTTCGCCTCTGTCCAAGCCAAGATACATACAACAAGCGACTCTCAACGATGCATGCACGTTAACTTGACGCGCTTTGCGCCTGGATTTTTATTTACGCTTAATATTATTGATTGTTTTTTTACTTTTTATTGGGTAGAACTGTTGTAAAAATACACTTGTAATAGGCAAAAATATAAATACAAAAAGTCGTTCGTTCCTTCATTTTAAGGGTGAGGCGCGGCCTCAGAGGCCTACCCTGACGAGCCGCCACTGATTAGACATAAAACAATTAAAATGTCATAAAGATTTATTTGACATTTGTGACATTTGCTTTTAACCATAGACAATACAATTCATTAATATTAGAACCAATAAAATGCCAGTATTCCATAGTTACGCAGTTACGGTTTCAATTCGAAAATATCATCAATTATAATCATACCACTTGTTATAGGTATTATGGGTGAAAATAATTTTGCTAATATATTAGCAAAATTATTTTCACCCATAATATATATAAGTCATGGTTTACTAGATTTGTTTTTTGGCCAATAAAATCACCTAAAATGTAAATCGGTTGATATAATTTATATCAGTCGTTAATGACTAATTTAAAATATGGATGAAAATGGACAGTATTTTTGTTTGTAAATATATATGAAAAAATAAATTCAGAAGGTAAACATACCTATAATAAAAATATAATTAAAAAATAACATTTTTTAAAGATAAAATTACTACCATGTTTATTATATCAAATATCTTAGCTGTTTTCGGTCTGATTGAAAAGCTGATACTTGAAATCAATTGATTTATAACTTTCTTTAGTTTCATTGTAAAATAATTACCCCTAACATTGAACTTGGTTGAAAATATTTATTGATTTATTTTTTAAATTTAAAAAACATAAATGTTTACTTTTCAATATAATACCTAGATAACTTAAAATTACTATTTAATAAATAATAAGGAATAAAAAATAAAACAAAATTATGAAGAATTTTAAATTTTAGACCATGTTCAAATTGTTTTTTCCTTTGAATTTTTAAATTATGTGCTTGCTCATCAAATAGAAACAGTGGATTTTGGGTAGGTAGAGAGGACTTTTTTTCTGAGGAAATTTACACTCTATTTATTTTTGGGCCCAGCAATATACTATTAAACATAGAAGAAAATGAAATAGAGGGAAAAAAGGGCAACAACATGGGTATTTCAAATTAAATAAACATATTATAGTATTATTAACAGTTTTTGCAAATAATAGTTTAAAAGGCATTTTATAAGAATATAAAAAATACACCCTCTAGGTAAAAACAATTATTTTTGCTCGAAAGCAAAAACAGGCACAGTGTATGAAACTATTTTTTTATATTTTTGATTCAAATTATGTTTACCATTTGTAATATTTATTTAACAAATAATTAAAAATATGTTCTGAAACAATATTTTTATTTTTAAAATAAAATACACAGGGTAAATAAATCTGGACTGAACTGCAACAATTAAATTTTAAAATTTACTTTATTAAAATAACAGTTTTTAAAATTTGGGTACCTATATTTTTCAATATAAATTATTTAAAAAACAAAGTGTATAAGGCATGCTTAATTTTTTTCATTGGGTTAAATTTAACCTTTTAGAAAAGCAGGGATTCTTGCCCCATTTCCAGCAAGGGTGTAGCCAGGATTTTGTTTAGGGGTCAAGCAAGGGTAAACTATATGCATGCTACAAAAAGTTTCTAGACTCCACCTCCCACCCATTTTCTAGCACAATTTTTCTGGACATGCAATTTTTGAGTATAGCTCCCTCCTTTTGATTAAAAAAGTTTATTCTAAAGTCATAATTTATGTATATCAAGCATTAACTAACGTTCATTGAGTAAAGAACACTTCTTTACTCAATGAACATATGTTATCCTCTAGAGCAGCGGTTCTTAACCTTTTTGGCTGGCGACCCACAATTCAAAAATATTAGAAGCTCGCGACCCGATAAAAAATAAAATCATCAATTTTCTACATTTTCTTAATATAAATTAAGGATGCAGGGATTACGGCGCGCTTTTTCAAAAAGTCCCGCAAGTCCCGCGACCCATCTCGATATGGCCCGCGACCCAAATTTGGGTCGCGACCCGAGGTTAAGAAACGATGCTCTAGAGTTTGTTTCTTAATTTTTTTATATTCTTATATATATATATATATACAGGGTGTTTCATAATATATGCGCAGGACTTCAGGATGTGATAGCTCATCCAAAAAGATGAAAAAAGTCGCTATTAACTTACCCTCTAAAATGCACAATTTTCGAGATACAGGGTGTTGAAATTTTAGAAAAAAAATCGTTTTATTCGAGTATCTCCGGAACCGTTTATCGTACAAAAAACAGCTTTTGTAAGCATTTTCTACTCAAAATAAGCTATGTTTTGTGCCAGAAAAATTTTTTTTTTTACTCATAATTGGTGGAGATTTTGAAGGGGTAGCGGGTGTTTTTCTCCTCAACTTCTACGCCCCTGAAAAATGTACTGTTTTGAGAGGCCTATTCGAACCGCCAATGTTTTCTACACAAAAAAGGTACTCCTGGTCATAAGCTCTAAAGTTGACCGTTTTCGAGAAAAATCAACTTTTATGTTTAAAAACATGGTCAATTTAAAAAAAAAATATTTTTTTTACTAATTAAGCAAAATTTATTTTAACGTTAGAACAAGTAACAAAACCAAACCATAATTGCAAAATAAAAAATGATTCAAAAGTTGTCTTTGCTAAATTCTCCAAACCGTAAAGGTAACGCATTTCGAACATTTCAGCATTTGTGTAAAAAATCATTTTTTATTATTTTTTTTAATTTTGCAATTATCGTTTGGTTTTGTTATTTTTTCTAACGTTAAAATAAATTTTGTTTAATTAGTAGGTAATAAATTTTTTTTATCAAAAAATTGAACATGTTTTTAAATATAAAAGTTGATTTTTCTCGAAAACGGTCAACTTTAGAGCTTATGACCAAGAGTACCTTTTTTGTGTAGAAAACATTGGCGGTTCGAATGGGCTTCTCAAAACCGTACTTTTTTCAGGAGCGTTGAAGTTGAGGAGAAAAACACCCGCTACCCCTTTAAAATCTCCACCAATTATGAGTAAAAAAAAATTTTTTTGGCACAAAACATAGCTTATTATGAGTAGAAAATGCTTACAAAAGCTGTTTTTGTACGACAAACGGTTCCAGAGATAATCGAAAAAAACGATTTTTTTTCTAAAATTTCAACACCCTGTATATATATATATATATATATATATATATATTCTTATATATATTATATATATAAATGACTAAAAATGTGTTATTGGTACCTGCAAAAGAATAGGTAAAAGAGCATTGCCTTTTAGAAACAGGTCTAGTATTCGTATAACTATAATATAATTATTATATCTATGATATAATTAAATAATCTTTTACAAGAAGAAACTCTTAAATAAAATTTCCACCAACTTCAACAAAAGTTCTTTGTTCTTTTCAAAGGCTTTAGGCCGTAATTTTTGTTTTTCATACCTTCTAATGCAAATTTACCAGAAAACATTGCAAACTGCGAACATAACCCAATTGTGTATGTTTTATATTGCTGCAATCCTCTTCAAACCAAGTTTTTGGCAATAATAAGGTTTAGTCAGTTATAAATTTATTTATGTGTATATTTAATAATACATTTAAAAAATGTATTACTCTTATAATGTAATAAACACATATTTAATTATATGTAAGATAACCTACAAATCTTTACTGTCATTTAAAATTTGCTACGTTGCCAAATTGGTTCAAACTGAAATCAGTGTATATGCGTAAATCAGTTGATATAAATAAATCAACATTTCTGCAATGCAGACTCTGCCCTGTTAAAAATCACCCATAGAGACCAATAGAAACCAATAAAAAATCAGAATGGAATGAATTGGTCTTTATTGGGCCTATTGGTTTCTCAACAGAATGAGCATTGGTTTCTATTGGTAATTTCCGTACTGGAAAATGCCAATAGATTACCTAATGGTCTGAATTGGTTTTTATAAGAAGTTACAAGTACTATTGGTTTGAATTGGTGATTCATGGTACAGATACCATTGAGACCAATTCAAACCAATAGAGCTACCGCTGGAAAATCCCAATAGCTTTTCTATTGGTCTTTATGGGTGATTGGCCCCTAATACAGTTTGGCTCTGGGATACAGATATAGAGAATGGGATATATGGTTAAAAAATCAAATTTTTATATTAATTATACATATACACATTAGAGTGTTTCAAAAAAATCGTTTTTCTTTTTTTTGAAGAACATTGAAAAACCGATAGAATATCCCTAGACATAGACTATAGACTATGTCACATAGTCTGTGTTAAAATATGAGCTTTTAACATCAATATTTAGAGGTCGCTCATCGCAATTTTCTATTTTTTATTTAGGTATAACAGGAGATTTTTGTTTGTTTGTTTGAATTATTTTAACTCAGAAACTATTTATTTCACAAGATTCAGACTAACATACATTTAAAGGAAATTGTATGCTCTAAAAAGGTTATATTAAAGATTCACGTAAGTCCAGTCATTTCGATGATATGAAGACTCAAACAATGACCGGTTTTAAAGCATTCAACTATTTACTATTAAACGCGACAAAATTATTTCATAACGATTAAAAGTTCAATATTTTTAACATTTTATTGTGTAGAATATTTGTAAAAATTAATAATTAATAATAATTGATAATTTGTGAAAACATCCTGTATATATATTATTACGGGCAAATAATATAACAATATGAAATTCATCAGTTTTTTTGCCTTAATGTAAGAAAAAAGTTTATATTAACTAATTTACAGAAACGCTTCGTTTCTAATATATACAGAGTGTTAAAATTTTTTAAATTATCTCTTTTTTCCTAATATCTAAAAACTTATATCGTTTTTTTTTAATTTGATATACATACTTATCTATAAAAATAATACTGAGCTTTTGATTTATCTAGATTTAATTTATTTATTACAGTGGCGTACCAGGCCGTTATTTTTTAAGAAAAAAATGTGGTATTTGTTCTAGATAAAAAAAATATTTTTTAATGGAGGAAATGCCCCCGGGGCGCCACTGGAATAAATAAATAAAACCTAAATACATCAAAACCTTACCATTATTTTTACAAATGGGCACACTACGTTTTAATAAAATCTAAATATGGGTTTTTTAAATGATAGGAAAAAAGAGAGAATTTAAAAAAATTGCAACACTCTGTATGTATCGGAAACAAAGCGTTTCTGGAAACTAATTAAAATGAAGCTTTTTTCTTATGTTATGGTAAGAAACATCATTCTAAATATTAATAAAACACCTTTTACCAAAAAAATCATATTTTTATATCATTTCCTTGTGACATACAAGGTGTCAGATCAATTAAAATTATCATTAATTAATAATTTTTACAAATTTTTGATTATTATTCTACAAAATATTTGCAAATGTTTAATCAAAATGTTAAAAGTATTGAGCATTTAATCGTTATAAAATATTTTTGTCGCGTTTAATAGTAAATAGTCGAATGATTTAAAACAGCTTAATGTTAATGAGTCTTGATATCATCCAAAATCTTATATCTTAGATTTCCTTGAAAAGTTTATGTCCTATTCCTGTGAAAAAAATAGTTAATGAATTATAAAAGTTCAAACAAACAAATAAAATTCCTCTGTGCTACTAAAATGAAAAATAGAAAATTGCGATGAGCGACCTCTAAATATTGATATTAAAAGCTCATATTTTAACACAGACTATGTCTAGGGATTTTTCAATGTTCTTAAAAAAAAAAGAAAAACGATTTTTTTGAAACACTCTAATTAATACACATAATATGTTATAAACTTACCTCCTTGGGTTATTTGCGTTATTTTTTTGACCAAAAATTCTTTATCTTTTGTTTCCCACTTTAGCATTTCCCTATACTTTTCGACGGATTCCCTTTGCGACTCAGCGCGCTTTTTCGATAAATACACAAGAATGCTAAAAATATTTTGACATAACAAATTAAACATACAGAAAAAATTATCATTGTCGAGCTGCGTTTTACACTGCCACCATATAATTAATTAATTTTTACCTTAACCCAATCAAAATTAGGGAAACGCTTCCCGGTTTGGTGACGAAAATGATTACTTTCCAGAAAAAACTCGTGACTTCCAAATTAAAAACGCCCGTGGTCACGATTTCGTATATAAAATTGTAGTTTTGGAACGGACCCGATTGTTTTGACGGAGAAACGCTTAAAAGCAAAATTAATACAATTTTTTTGTATTAAATTTTCTTAGCATACCACACAATAACGTAACCTTGAACGCAGCACACCAACAGCAAGCTGGCGAAGACCATGATGGTGAACCAGGTCTGGGCTCGGGCGGCGCGCCAGGACCGGCTCGAGGGCCTGCAGAAGAACTGCACGGTCGCCTGGTTGGCGTACCAGGTGAGGAAGAGCTTTATCACGACCATGACGGATATGAGGGGCGCGTAGAAAAGGCCCAGCCAGAATAGGCTCTGGCTGTAGATTATGTGCATCGTGTGGCGCGGGATGTCGAACTCGAAGCGACCGTCTCTTCCGAGCGCCCTAAAAGTTTTCAAATTTACTAAAACCTTTCAAATAATTTTAAAATATCAAAATTTCAAAAATCTTTAAATTACCCAAAACTTTCAAAATTTCATAAAATCTTTAAAAATTTTATACTTAATCCAGATTTCTGAAGTTTATAAGATTTTCAGAATTTTCGTTATTTATAGTTTTTAAAATTTTAAGTAGTAATTAGTAAGTACAAAAGGACGATTAAGAAAATTCAATATTTTTAAAAAATTTCAAAATTTCCAAAATCCTTAGAATAGTTATAATCAAAATTATCAAAATTTTCAATATTTTAAGTTTTTAAAATTAATATAATAAATAATTAAAATTCCCAAAATCTTTTAAATATCCAAAACTTAAATTTCCGAAATTTCTGAAGTTTTCTAAATTTACAAAATCTTAAAAAAAATTTAATTTACCAAAATATCCAAAACATTCAAAATTTTGTAAATTTCCAAGATTTTCTAAATTTACAAAAATTTTAAAAATCTCATGTAAGAATTTTTAAAATTTTGTAAATGTTTAAAATTTCCAAATCCTCTAAAATATCCAAAATTTCTAGTTTCACAAAAATCTTAAAAAATGTATACGAATTTTTAAGTCCCAAAATCTTTAAAATACCCAACTCTTTTGTAAATTTCTGAAGTTTTCTAAATTCACAAAAACCTTAAGCCCGTATTACAGCCGACAATTCTTCTTGCAGCAATTATTCTTGCCATCAAGTTTTCAGAACTTTGAACAAAATGTCAATCATAAAACTGTCAACTGTCAAAACAGCGTCTCTTTAGGGAATTTTTAGTAGGGTTGGTAACATACAAGTTACCAGATTTCACCCCAGAATTGCCGTGAAACGGCAATAAAAATCCATCCGGACCGATTTTCGGCAATTGCAAGAGATTCGTCGAAATGTCTCAACCGCGCATGCCTATGGCAATTTTCATTGCAATTGACGAAAGAATTAAAAATTTTGTAAATATTTAAAATTCCTAAATTCTCTAAAATATCCAAGAAATTTAAAATTTTGTAAATTTCCGAAGTTTTCTAAATTCCCAAAAATTTAAAAATGTTATAAATCCAAAATATCCAAAACTTTCTTAAATATTCAAAATTTCTAAAATTTTGTAATTCCCAAAAACTTTAAAAAAATGTTGTAAATCCAAAATATCCAAAACTTTCTTAAAAATTCAAAATTTCTAAAATTTTGTAAATTCTCAAAAACTTTAAAATATCCAAAACTCAAAAAGTTTTTTAAAATTTAAAATCTTAAAATTTTTATGAATTTTTAATATTTTAAAAATTTCTTTAATATTTAAAATTTCTAAAATTTTCGATGTTTTTAAGATTTTGAGAATTTTCAATATTTTTGAAATTTCCAAAAAATTTCATTTTCATAACTTTGAAAATTTCTGAAGTAGAAACCGAAATTTTGAAAGTCTCAAATAATTTACGTTTATCAGAATTAAAAAAAATTTAAAAAATTCACAATTTTTATTTTATAGAATTTTCAAAATTTTTAAAATTTTCAAATATTCCAAAATATTTAAAATAACCCACATTATTATTATTATTATGTGAAAAATTAACACAAAAATAAAAAAAAATTACCTTTTACCAAAAAACATGCAAACACCAAAAACAAAGGATAAAACTACGGCAAAAATAAAATCAAACAAAAATAATCGGTAAATTTCTTGGCCCAAGGAACTTTCCCAATCTAACTAAAAAGTAAAAAAAAGTAAATAAAAAATAATCATACATAATTATATTTGTGATGAAGTAAGTAATAAAACTTACGTCTGTTTTGGATTTTTTTAACCAGAAAGTTGTCATGACGGAAATAACCAAAAATCCAAGCAAAAAAATTCTAAACAACGTTACGTACAGGTTCGTTCTTGGCTCTTTGTAACCCTCATACCTAAAAATAATTTTAAAATAACTTTGTCAACAAATAAAATCCCTTACTTCACCAAATAGCTCAGCAAATATGGCACGAAAACCATAACCAAGTTCACCGCAATGGCGGACAATATGGCGGAATCTTTGCCCATGCAAAACCAAATCAAGTAAGCTATGCCAGCGAATGTAAACAAAACCAGAACGTTTGATGTCAGCTGTAAAATGAAGGTTCGGAATTTTTGCATGAAGGATTCTTCGACGTCGATTTTTTGCACATCGTAGAGAAGCTCCTTAAAATGCAAAAATATCATGGAAAAAATAATTATTTTGGGTGTAAGTATTATACCCTTAGCTCATTATAGATCGAGGTGGATTTTAAGTTTGCCGCGTCACGGTTGGCGATACTGAAATCCCAGCTGCAAAATATTTTCTGCGCAAAAACATTGTGAACGCCACCCTCTGTTTCTATGAAACTTTTCTTGTATTTATTCGCCGAACTAAAACAATTTAGTTTCACGAAAACCTCAAAAACTCTTGAGAACGAATGTTACCAACCTTACACAAAGCACGACTAAAGCAACCAAATACGTGCTGATGTTGGTGAAAAAATACGCTTTCGGCATGTTGTAATCGATTTCCGATAAATTCACAGAGTCGTTTGAATAAAATCCATAATATAAAGCGGTTTTCACGAAATACCCCTAAATAAGTAAATAATTTATTTTTATAAAATTGGCAATGCAACATAATGACAGCTGTTGTTTTTAAGGCTTGCCAATATAATAATAAAATATTGTCAAAATAATTGCAACTCACATTCTCATTTTAATGTTTAACCATTGACTAAGGAATTTCTTCACTCAACGGTTTAACTATGGTTTCGCGTAAAAATCGAACAAATTTGTTTGCCAGAATTGAATATATTTTTTTAAACCTTGTTTCTACAATTAAATGGTGCATTTTTTTTAACAAAAAAAATTTCATCCATTGGCCGCTGTGGTTTTCAGGCCTTAAGTCACTCTACTGTGTAAAAAATAAATAAATTTCGATATTTTGTAATAACATTTTTATTTAAAAACGTATCGATTTGAAATTAAGATAAAATGTAGACCTTATTAATTGCAATAAATCCACGTATTATTTTTTTTTTAGATTTTAACATACAGGTGGCACTGGGGACAATTTAATTTAAAATTTTACCATTTTAAAGGGATAAAAAATCAAAGAAGCAACGTTGTTTTATAATTTTGAGTATATCCCGTTAAAGTACTGATAATTAACTATTATTTGATATAAACTTCTACATGAAAATTATGTTTCTACAAGAGACATCATTTTTTTAAAGTTAGGCCTCCAAAGGCATAATACTAACGTGTTTTACAACCCTTGCGGCCTTGAGTTCACGGTTTATTCACCGTGAATTCACTGTGAATTCACCGTGAATTCACGGTGAATTCACCGTAAACTCACCGTGAATAAACCGTCTGTTTGTGACATTTGTAAACGGTAGTTAGACGGTGAATTCACGCACTTTTCACAGTATTTTAATTGTGAATCCACCGTATTTTGGCGGTATATTCAGGGGAGGCCGCATGTGAAATTTATGCGAAATTTTCAGTAAATTGCGAAACTTTTAATGAAACTTCTGAAAGTTTCACAGGCAATGTTGAAATTTTCGGATTGAAAATTTCATTTGAAACTAAATGAAATATTTCAAGTTTGAAACTTTCAAAGTTGAAATTTTCATTTGAATAATAATTATAAGAGTATTATATATTACATATTATACATTATATTATATTATTTAATATAATTTATATATTCTTACACATTTATTTAAAAAAATCGCCATAGATGGAGCTAAAATTACTTTTATTTATAAATTTAAAAAATTTTCAAGTTTACTAATTTTTATCATAGTAGGCATCATAGACTTTTCTCTATGGTAACCTACCATTGGAAGCATGAAACATAATATGAGTTAAGCTTATAGTTGACTGATAGCGTTTCAATTTATAAGTGTACTATAAACATTAATTTATTAAAATGAATATACTAAATAATAATTATAGACAGTGTCAGCAAGTTAGAAATTATAACCTACTTTAATTTTATTTTTTCTCCACAACCAAGCTTTAATTTATTTTTTACTTGATAAGCAAGCTTCAATTTTAATTCCAAACTGAAAAAAGTACCCAATAAATAAATTAGAATAAAGACTTTATTTTTTATGTTGCGATCGCCTATTTAGATATAGGTATAAATTTTATTCAGTTGTTTTTCGCTTTTTTGTAATTAGTCATTTTGCATTTTTTTATATTTAATATAATACTATACAGGGTGTTTCTGGAGAAACACAAACGATATGGATTTTAAATTTTAATAGCGTATACAATTTGATTTAGACCATAGGTTACTAAAGTCAATAGTCTTCAAGATTTTTCGTTAAAATTTTGCTAAATGCACGTCAATCAAAAATAGCCTCTAATTTTTTTGTTATTAGGTTTGCTGACATGGGGTTGGAATTTTTGGAATATTAAAACATTGTTTAAATAATTTAATATTGTAAAGGTTTTTCAACAAATACCTTGAGAAAAAACAATTGAAATTAGGCAAACTTAAAACAATAATAACGTTTTTATGTAAAACCCTGTATGTTTTAACATAATCAAATAGAAAATTAAAGAATCTTTCAATTGGTATTATAATAACTGTTTCCTAAAGTTAAAATTACAGAGACATTTAACAATTTCTAATATTTTCAATACTATTTAAATTCAAATTTGTATAAACAAACCTGTGAAATTCTACATGTGGGTTAATGTGACAGTATCCATGGTTACCAGTAAATCTTTCATTGTTTAAAATTAATTAAAATATTTGATTGAAAAATTAATAACTCGAAAAATATTGACTTTGGTATAGGATATGGTATAGCCATTTTACTCAGAATTTTATGTAGAATTCAAAAATGTAAAAATATATGAGGTGTCCTGTTTAAAGTTAAAGACATTTTCGGTAAAACAGAAAGTATTATTTTGTTCAAAATAATTTAGGAAAAAGTCTAAATCGAATAATTTACGCTATTAAAATTTTAAATCGATGTCTTTCGCAATTCCCTAGAAACTTCTAATGGACTGCGTACGTGAAACACCCTGTATATTAAACGAAATTTATGTGTTTTGCTATACTTAATTATTAATAAAAGATACAACAATATTTGTATAAAAATGACAACATGTACAATACTAAACATTTAGGAATACTGCTGCTAATTCAAAACTGATCCTGGCCACAGAAACATCATTTGCATAATTAATGTATCAAATAATTGTCAAATATCTATACTTCAACGTGTTATACTCAAATTTATAAAACAAAGTTGCTTGTTCGATTATGTACCCTTTAAAAATTGTTAAATTTTTAATTAAATTATCACCAGCGCCCCCTGTACTTTAAAATCTAAACTTTTTTTTTCATGGATTAAGTGTCATTAGTAAGATCTATATTTGGTCCAAATTTCAAATCGATACGTTTTGATATAAACGAGGAGATATTTTTTTAAAAAAAAGTACTGCATTTAAATGTAGAAATAAGGTAAAAAAGTTTCAATCGATTTCTTGAACCCAATCGACCGTTCGATCCTTTCGCGAAACCGTAGTTAAATAACAAAAACAAAGAATATTGTGTGGAAGTAGGGTTGGGGCAGTTGAAATTTTCAAATGAAAATTTCAAACTTGAAATATTTCATTTAGTTTCAAATGAAATTTTCAATCCGAAAATTTCAACATTGCCTGTGAAACTTTCAGAAGTTTAATTGAAAGTTTCGCAATTTACTGAAAATTTCGCATAAATTTCACATGTGGCCTCCCCTGGGACCTTTAATAATAATTTACAACAGATTCCGAATCGACCAATAAGATTGAGTTATCAAGCGTCTGGGCGTTTTTGTTTAAATCGGCTTGGATTTGAATACACTATAAGTAATTATTGTTACTTATATGCATAAATTAATTTAAATAATTTAATTCAGATACCAATTTAATTTGTAAATTAAATCAGACTTTAAATTTTTTTTAAAGTCATGATTAATTTAAACTTTTACTTTTGCTATAATTGCATCGGGAAACGGATGAAAATTTTGACGAAGTTTCTTCAATTTTCGTAAAATTTCAGTAAAATAGATAAAAATATTAAATATAAATAAATATTTAAAACAATGAAAGTGGCACAATCTCGTTAGCTTACCAAAAAGTGCTATGTCTCTCTTAGTAATTTTAAAAATATTTTAAAAAGAAATCTGAAGAAATTTGTGTTAAACATAGGTATTTACTATTTATATTATTGGTGGTCAGGAGGCCACAGAGGGGTAGGAGGTAAGAGAGGCAATTTGCCATGGTCCCCGAGTGGGCTTATTTCAATATATATATAATATATTAAACTTAAAATTTATTGAAAGTTTCAATAAATTTCATAAATTTAGGAAATTTTAATAAATTTCATAAATGTCATGAAAATTTCAAGTGAAATTTTAAGTACAAGCAAAAAGTGAAATTTTCCCAACCCTATGTGGAAGTAATGAAATGTGTATTTATTTACAGTAGAACAACATTTTTTGGTGCCACTGACCAAGCTTATAGTTTTAATTAATTTAAATTAAATTTCAACCACTATTTTAATTACACTTACGTCTCCGTTAAAAATGTCGATAAATCTGAACGTGACGTTGTTTTTAACGGGTTCATCGTAAACCAGCTGAGGAATAACAATAAACAGTACCACAGGGATTGAGAGAATAAAGTTGAAAATAAAAATCCAGCGTAGAAATTTAAAAAACGACCCAACTCCAGAACCAAAACGACCCTCAATTTCTTTTAGGGGAGTGTACCACAACTCAAGGGCTGACAAGACGCTTTTTAAATCGTTTTTTAACTAAAATCACACGTTTTATGTACAGGGTGTCTAAACATATTCCTTGGACAAAATAATTTGCTGTTTTTTTGAAAATATTTTACCATAGAGAATGTTGTACTTACTTTGTGAAATTTGTTGCCCATTTTATTTTTTAATGAGGTGCAACAACCCTTTTGTACTTTTGTGTTTTTTACCATTGATAATTTTCTTTTTACGCATCTTTTTACTGTTAAACATTGCGGCATATCACGTAATGTTTCCCTACAAGATTTATGAATAAAAATCACTATTTTCTTTCAATTTTATAAATAATACTATGTTTAAAAACTGTAGGCATAATTACCGTTGTAGTTTCTGAGAATGTGGTGTATTTCCCATAAGATTTTCATCTTTTTTCATTTTGTCTATTATTTCATCTGCATGTCCATCAAAGTCGACTAAAATACGTGTTTTATTTTTTCTGGGGCCTGTTTTGGCCTCGTATGCCTTATAAACACGACTATTTTCAGGATAAACTTGGTCATTTCTGTGTTTTGAATGCACCCGTTTGTTTCTTTCTGAATAATCGTCTATGTGATCTTGTGTGTGGCTTGAAGAATTGGGCAGATTTTCACCATCCCCCGAGTTAAATTTATTATTTTGGTTATCATCATTACTGAAAGTAGTTAGTTCCACATCTATATTTGCCATGGAATTTTGCTTTGCAAATGGGGGTGTTATTTCATAACTAAAATCCCTAATATTTAGTCTTGAATTCTCCAAATTCTGTTGCGTTCTTTGTAGAAGCCTGAAAAGTAAAAATAAATACACAAATCGGTTAAAACCCAAAAAATAACACCCAACCGACTCATTTTGCGTTCAAATAACAATTTTATTAATAGAACAAGGAAAATAATCTAAATAATATGATTAATATGTTTATATAGATAAGAATAATCTCCATAATACCAGAGATAATCTCTGATAATACTCACCAATTTCGTTTATTTTTCACTAGAATTGTTTACTTCGATATGTTTTAGATTTTTAGGTTAGTCTGACTGACAGCTTTGCCAACCTTATTTTTTGAGATATCCTAGGGTTATGGGAAATTTTCAAAGTTTTCTATATTTTTTAATTTAGGAGAAATAGAAAAATAAAATACTTGAATTAATTAATCCCCAGGAGCTAAGATAAATTTCCTGGGATTAAAACAAATCCTTTAGTACCTGAAAATGTAAAAGATTCCAAACTGATCTATGCATGAAAAAAATTATTACATTTAAATGTAAAAATAATAAAATATTTTCGTCTAATTTTTATATATTTCAAGTAAATAAACATTTTTGTTTGTAAAATTACTAATGTTTTGTATTAATTATTGATACAAGTAAATTTAACGAACTAAATGTAAAAAATACAATTATAACGTCTTACTGCATTATTTCAAATGTAAATATACTACTTTATTAGGCTTAATATTACAGGTTTAAATGTTTTTTTACATTCAAAGTGTAGTTAAAATCGCAAAATTACATTTCATATGTAACCAGAGAAGAAGCCTATTGGCTGGGAATTAGCGCATGCCTGCCCACGCATCCGCATGTTAATGTTATCATGTATAAATTTATACATAATTAATACATTTCAAATAAAAAACATATTACATTAAAAATGTTATTTTACATAAAAAATATAACTGAGTTACACGTCAATTATGCTATTACATTTTAAAATAATAATGAAATGGAATATTTCAGTTATCAACAAGGCATCAAAATAACCAATCTCCATTACCGGAAATTTACATGATTTTTTTTTCAGTGTGGGCAACATTTGAATGATGCGCATGCGCTAGTTAAATATTTTGGATGAAAAGTTTTTATGAACACCAAATATTTATTGAAGAAGAAGTTAACAAGTTAATGATTTGACGATTCAATCAACACTGATCAAAAATAAATTTTATAAAAAGGAAAAAAGCACAAAATGATTATTTTGCAGAATTGCGAAAAGTAAATTACACGGGTTTTTATGTCTTAACGGATGTAGCTTGATTTTGTTTAATATTATATGATATTTCCTTTAACTTTAATTCTTAGGTCGCTGTACCGGCTGCAGGGTCGGCGTCCGTAACACCTCCCTCCTTAAGAAAGAGCTCTAGGGTTTCTCTTGTAACTCTGGGGCGATTTAGAAAGTGGTGGATCCTCTTCTTTTTCTTAACCATAATGTAGATGAAGGCCAAAATAAAAAGAAGACATGATGTCGATATGCTCCAACTGATGTAGGTGGCAACTGGGTGCAAATGAAGGGGTTGGATTGGTGTTATGTCGAATCCGGTCGGGATGTCCATTTTCTGTAAAATAAGTTTGTTTCTTGCCGAAGGCAAATTGTGTGTGTAAAATTCAGGTGTGACGTCTTCTTCTTTATCGGTACATTGGATCGTGTAGCAATCGACTGTTATGGATTGGTTACACCGGAATGTCTTCGTTGGGGAGTACACTATTTTTCCATCTGGTAAATCGTATTCAATCTCGGATTCGGCTTTAGCTGTTGGGCATCGGTGAGGATTCGTTATGGAACAGTTGCTGGTGATTTTCTTATTGCAGAAAAAATGTCTTATTGAAATCTGCTGACAGTTCTCGAACCAATCGTTGTGGGAGTTCCATGAAGTTGGTGGTAGGATAAGGGTTTTGTCTTCATTAGGTATTGGGAAAACTTTGATTAGCGGGTAGGATTTGACTTTAAGGATTGGAATTTTCAAAATTAATATAATTTTATAGTTAGTGTGAATTAGAATAGTTTGACAGTGTTCAAGCAGATTAGTTGAAATAATTTGATTGGTATCGTAAAATTTTTCTAATTCTATTTCTAATCTTGTAATTTCATCGGCAGAAAATAGTTCTAAATTTGTTAAATTTAATTTTGAAAATGTTATTGTACGTAAAAGCATTAATAAAAAATCATTTACGTGTTCGATATTAGCGATATTAATTTGTGCTTCATGAATTCCTAAATCATTTTGTATATTGCGTAAATATTTTTCCAGTTGTTTATTGTTACTATTAAAATTGTCAATTATTAAATGAAATCTTTCTTGAATATGTTGTGCATTTGAAATAAGTTTATTAATTTTTATCGATTGTTCGTCTGTTTTATCCGAAATTGATTTTATATTGTCATTGATTATTTCTAGGTCGTCATTGTCTGGATTGCCCGTAATAAATTTAATAGCAGACCCCAAAAAATTAGCAAGTCCTCTTTTTTGTCGAAAAAATGTTAATTTATGAAAATTATTAATTGCTTCTTTAAGTTTTATATTGTAAATTCTGCTTAAAGGTGTTTCATTATTCATGAAGGGCATTGAATTTAGACTTTTTTGAATGTTATGAAGGTTAATGGAAACAGTGAATCTATGGAAATGTGAAAATTCTTGTTGGGTTCCGGAATCATAAGGATAAAACCCATTATTAGGCACACACGAGTAAGCAAGGATGTAGCTGTAACAAGAAATTTTGTTTATTTGCGGGGACGTTTAATTTTTCTAACATTATTTTTTGTCTCTATTTTGATTTTTGGGTGTACTGTATAAATGATATCTTTATTTTCGTTGTCTTGATTTTTTAATAGTTCTTTTCTGTAAGGTTTTTCGTGTTTAGATCTTCTAGCTGTACAAACATATACGGGAGTGTCAGAATTAATTGTGGGCTGATCTGTTCTGGTTTCGTTAATTTTGGCAAGGTTATTATCGGCTTTTGTTTTTTGCTTTGTGTAAACATGTTTTATAAATGGCAGAATTTCGTTTTTTCTGTCTTGATTATATTTTTCATAAATTGTCAGATTATTGTCAAACAGTATCTCATGTTCGTATGGTCCGTATATTAGGGAAAATGGAGAAAAACCTGTAGCTGAATGTATGGATTGGTTGTAAATAGTAATGGCAGATATCATACGTTCTATAATATTTGTTTCAGAGGGTTCTAAAACACGTAATTTTTCGATTATGGTGGAATGTAGGCGTTCGATAGGGGAGTTGGATGAGGAGTTAGATCTGGATGTATAGTGAATGTTAATTTGATGTAGATTAAAAAATTCGTTAACTACTTTATTTTTAAACTCGGGACCTTGATCGAAAACAACATTTTTGGGAAAATTGTGGTGTGCGAAATAGTGTCTTAATTTGGAGAGGATATGGATTGAAGTTGTATTTTCTACGTGATAAGCTTGGGCGTATTTTGTAAAGGGGTCAATGATTGTCAAAAATTTATGTCTCAAATAGCTAAATATGTCAATATGAAGTGTTTTAAAAGGGAGAGAAGGAAGTAAAGGACCTTTAAATGGTGTTTTTATAGGATTTCTTTCGTATTTGGATGTTAAACAGATTTCACATTTATTTATTATTGAAGTTATTAAATTTTTCATATTTGGCCAGTAATATTTTCTACGCAAATGTTCGTACGTTTCGTTGATTCCGTTATGATTAGCATTGTGATAGTCATTAACAATTTCCAAATGATTTTCAATTTCTGGAACATCTTGAACTTTAGACTGACAAAGAATAATTTTTAGTGTTGTATTAAATAAAGATGAAAGAATGTTTCCAAGAATAGGACGTAGTTCTCTGCCATAAAGATAAATATAGTACGTCTTTTGAGGGTCTATGATATGTTTTAATGTTGATGAAAAATGTTTTTCTAAATTATTTGAAACAAGAGTAATTAAATGAATATTTTTATTAAATCGATTAGTGACTGAATGAGACTGTAATGTTCCTATACGTACAAAAATTTGGTTTTGAAATTTGTTTATACATTCCTCCGAAATGGGTAAAGTACAGGAAATATTTTCTTTTTGAGAGTGGACGGTAGATTTTCCGGAAATTACAGATTTAGGTGTTTGGGGATCATAATCGGCAGGGGCATGGACAGTGACAATTTCATCAAGATCTACGTTAACCATTAGTGATTCATTATCTGAGTCAGAATTGTGAACGTTAATCTCAACACGAGAGAGTGCGTCAGCGACAATATTTTCCTTACCTTTTTTATAGGAAATGTTGTAGTCAAATTCGTCTAATTTTATTTTCCATCGAATTAAACGGGAATTGGGTGTCTTTAAACTACTGAGCCAAACGAGGGGGTTATGATCGGTTTCGATATTAAATTTTTGTCCAAAAAGGTAGGGCCGAAAAAATTTTGTCGAGGCAACTATAGCTAGTAGTTCCTTTTCAATCGTGGAATAGTTTCGTTCTGCAGAATTTAGTGTTCGGGAATAAAAAGCAACTGGTTTTAACTCTTGGGATAAAACTGAACCTATGGCAATATCGGATGCGTCGGTTGTCAAGGTGAATGTTTTGTTAAAATCGGGATATTGTAGGATTGGAGAATGGGTTATTAGGTTTTTGCACTGTTCAAAAGCAGAAATATAACGTGGATCATGAATATTGATTTTTTCTCCTTTTCTTGTACATTTATTAATTGGATAGACAATTTTTGCAAAATTTGGAATAAAACGTCTGTAGTAGCCTATTAAACCAAGAAAAGATTTAATTTCTTTAATAGATTTAGGTATGGGAAAATTTACAATAGCAGCTATTTTCTTTGGATTTGGCTGAAGGCCTTTATCAGTTACAATGTGTCCTAAAAATTCAACTTTTTTTGAAAGAAACTCGCTTTTGTCGAGTTGTACCTTTAAATTTGCGGATTTTAAACAAGAGAAAATTAATTTAAGGTCATTAATATGTTCTTGAAGAGATCGAGAGAAGACGATGACATCGTCCATATATACAAAGCATCGTTTGTAAATATGAGATTTTAGAATTTCGTCCATCATTCTCTGAAACGTTGCCGGGGCATTTTTGAGTCCGAACGGCATTCGGAGATAC